TCCCTTAAAAGGGTTCTAAAGGTTCCCCGGGGCAAATGTGGCTCCGTCAGACCGAAGAGACACATTATGTATATCCCTGAAGCTTACTTTAAAGGGGCAAACCATTCCAAAGCTATCCACCCTCCGTACCTCACTGCGCATGTGCGAAATAACATCAGGAGGCAACAAAGCAGCGTCAAAGAATGCAGCATGCCGTAGGCCATATTAGCAATCTTTTACCACGTTGTTCGAAAACGTTCTTTGTTGTTGTAGTCAGAGGTACTTGGTTTTAGCTATGTGAAATTCTTTTAAAAACTTTTTAAATGTAATGCTGTAAATGAAATGGTTTTGGCTATTGGGTGAAAACTTTGCTCTTGGTTTTCACAATGGTCATTCCAAATAATTGTCTAAACGTTTTCATGGTAATTTGTTTTTAAAGTTGTTGTTGGATAATTATAATGTATTTCAGTGTTTTTAATTTATTTAGGGGTGCCTTTAATTGTCTTTAAATATTTTTTTCTGTTTTAGTTAGTTATTGCAAATTTTGCTTTTAAAATTTCACTGTAAAATTTTAACTATGGATTCATAAAAATTTATTACGTTTTGTATGGCATGTGTTTTTCCCCCTTTTTAAGTTTACAGAAGAAAATAATTAAGAAATTTATTTCATTTAAATTTTGTCTTCGTATGGCTCGCTGTTTAAATTGAAAGTAAAAATTGGACAGGATTTCTATAATTCGCCCAAAATTCCAACTAACATCCTTTTGCTCATAAAACTCCAGAAATGTATGAAAATAAAACATTTTGAGTTATTTCAAAGTAAAAAATTTACTATCTCCTCGAACTGCGCTGTTTAAATTTCACCCTGCGCTATTGTTTCACTGCATAGCCGTCGCTCTTCGGTACAGCGGCGCAGAGGCGAAACAGGTTTACATTGCGTCTATGGAAGCTATCATTCTTCTTCTTAGAGATTCTTTGATGAAGGGGCAGTTCAGGTAAAAATAGAATTTGTAGAGAAATATTCCGTTTTCAATTTATAATGCACCGATCAGTATGTATAGCAAATTCAAGCACTCTACCTGGAATTCTAAAAATATACTGCTTTTTAAATATATTGTGATTTTGTTGTTGAACTGAATTTTACGTAAGTGAGATGAATGTGGTACCTACTTAATTAATAAATGAAACACATAAAAAGTTAATAATGAAAAGACACATACACTTACACACACGAAAAAAAAAAAAAAAAAAAAAAAGTCCGGTTAGCAGGAATGCGACAGCAGACCGGTAGACTGCGCACTCAGCGCGAGAGCGTAAAAAACCCTTCTGGATGGCCGTTAAAATCTAAAATTTTTATTTATTTATATTTTGAGTATCTAAATTTTGGAGAGTGGGCTCAAGGAAAGTTTTTGCATAGGGGCCCAAGACTTCTAGCTACGCTACTGATACTAATGCATACTTTTGAGAAGTAATATGAATGAATGTGTTACTTAGATAATGTACAAGTAATGAATTGAGCTTCAATTTGAATGGCCTTGTTACTGAAAGATGCTAAGCCAAGGTGAAAGTAGCACTTTCATTGGGACCGGAATGAGCTCATGTGATAACAATGTGGAAATTTATTTCTTTAGTCGAATATGGGAAAGCACTTGACATTTTGATTAATGCAGGGTTTCGTAAACATTTTGGGCATGGGATCCCCTAATACTTACGAACACTTTGCGGGACCCCATAAGATAAGATCGTTGCATTCATCTCATGCTCAAACCCGACATACCCATGCTCAAACCCGACATACGCGTGAGTGAAGCTATCAGTTTCTTCACTTGTATATACTATTGCAGTTTTAGGTCATTGACTTTAATTTTTGAAGTAAAATGAAAGTTTCTATTATTAAAACATGCTTCGAAACGTTTTCGTTTTTTCTTTGTCTGTATTGTCTTATCTTTATGTATTTTCTGGTACATTATTTAAAAGTATTTGGTAATTGTAAAATTGTTATAATAAGTTAAAGAAATACCAAAATTGCTAAATTTTTGACGACCCCCTACTGCTGGTCCCGCGACCACAGAAACTCTGGATTAGTGGAAGAAAGAAATCTTTATACATAATTTTCTAAAGAAAGCAGACGTATGTCCACATTACACATAGAGAGGGAATCACGAAAAGCCAACCCTTTCGCTGGAATTCGAACTTCAGTTAAACTACCAGTGTCCCATGATCTCACCAACTCAGGCCAATTGTGGGTTATGGATTTAAATTTATTAATAGTTTTGAAGATAAAGACATGATTACTATAGCCGGGCGGAGATATCTAGGAAAAGAGGGTGCACTTTGAAACTAAGGATAAGTCTTTCTAAATGAGCTTTCTATTGACAGTAACTGACGGCGGGAATTGCACTGCGTGCTGAAAGCAAGGTGGATGCACTAGATGATGCTGTTTCGTTTGATAGACTGTAGGGTTTATATTTATTTTAACTAACATTTATTTTAAGCTATCTTTCCAGTCAAGCCTTTACTTTCCCCTAGAATTGCCAATGCCAGAGTATGTAAATTGTAGTAGAACGCGCAGTATATTCAAATTTTAGCAGAATTGAGTAGAAGGGAAACGAGATTGTATATGTGCTTCTTTGAATCGCGAGCGTGAAGGTTGCTAGGTAGAAATTTAAGAACCGCGCGTTTCAGCCTGTGTGCCTATTTCGGCAGTTCGTTGAATCTTTCAACTTCTTAATCAGTATGTTGCGCCACTATCGAACTCCATGAGAGGTAAGTTTCTCTGTTACGGAATGGCAACGAGAGAGATTGTTGTTCAAAAGATGGATGATCGAACTGCGTTGTAACGATCATTTTTGAGGATGTTGCGTACTGTAAAATGAACTTATTACACTGTGCTAAATAGTATTAAAATACTCTATATTAAAAGATCTTTCATCTGATCTAAATTTTAACAAACCGCTCATTATTTTCTCTTAAACTCACAATGTTCACGAGATTTCTGGCGCCCCCGGGTGGGCGTGTTTGTTGGAAACATGTTGGATGAAAGAATAGATAGGATAAGTTGATTACCTTATACTTCCGTTTTCCGAATTAAAAAGTTAAAGTAAATCAAAGTTATTGATTATTGTTTTACTGAAGTTTAAAGTTTAAAATACTTTTCTTGCCTAATTTTTATCTGAATATTTTAAACTTTTATGACAAAATGGAAGTGATGAAAAGAAACAAAACTGCGCAACGTTCAGCTTTTACTAAAGCATATAAAAGACTAGATGAACTTTTAAATGATGATAATGTTGATTATGAAGAAGCAGAAATGTGTTTTTATTTGTTCAAGAAAAAGGCAGAAACATTAGAATTGACGCACAGTGCTTATTTAGATACTATAACTGATGATTAAGAATTCGAAACAGAATTTGAAATAACAGAGGACTATCGAGAGAAGGCTGTTAGGATACAGTTTAAAATCGGAACGATTTCTCGATAATATTAAGAGTAAATTAAACGAAATCCAAAATACATCGTCAGAGAGTAGTCAGAAATTAGTTACTGATGAAAATACATGTAAAACTTTGTGCCAACGCCTACCGAAAGTAGAACTTTATAAGTTTCGCAGGTGATTTAAAAAATTGGCTTACGTTTTGGAATCAGTTTAAAAACATACATGAAAATAATAACTTAACGAATGCAGACAAATTCCATTATTTGATACAGTCAACAAAAATTAAATCAGAAGCTAGAGATATTGTAGAATCTTTTCCTGTGACGAACGAAAATTATCCTTTGGCTATAGAAAGCCTTACTGAGAGATATGGCCGTAAAGAACTTTTAATTGATTTTTATGTTCGAGAGTTAATAAAACTTGTTTTTGGATAACGCAGCGAAAAAGAAGCAGGATTCTTTGAGTAGTTTGTATAACAAACTTTCAACACAACTTAGAGCCCTGAGCAGTCTTGGTGTAACGACTGATCAGTGTGGAACAATTTTATATCCTCTTGTGGAAAGTGTTATTCCTATTCACGTATTGCGATCGTTTTGAAAGACAACGAAAAATTACTGAATCTGAACGAAACATTTCGAGTCTTGATGCAATAATTGAATTTCTGAAAAGCGAAGTTCAGTCAGAAGAAAATAAAATTAAGCAGAGCGGATATTTTTTCTAAGTCTGATCGTAAGCACTTGGCAACTAGCCAAAATATTCCTTCCGCGTCGGATTTGATGAATCATGAAGCAATACCTTCTTGTTCGTTTTGTTTAAAAGATCATGAAACGCGTAATTGTAAAAAGGCGTTTTATATTCCGTTAGATGAAAAAATGTCTGCGGTAAAAAAGAAAGGTTTATGCAGAATATGCTTGGTTAAAGGTCACCTCAGTAACCAGTGTCGATCAAAGTGTTAAGTGTCAGATCTTGTTCAAAAAGACATTTGAAATTTTTTTTGTCCTAGTCTTGAATGTAATAAGTCTAGTGAAATGCATAACCAGGAAAATGATGAGAAAAAAGAGAAAACAATCGATTCTTTGCATTCGCGTGCTACGAATGAAGTTTTCCTTCAGACCCTAGGTTGTAAACATAGAGGGTAAGAATAAAAGGCGTAAAGTTAGATTAATGATTGATACGGGTAGAGCTCAAAAAGTTATATGTTTTAAAGTCTACTGCAGAAGAAATGGGTTTTGACTTGCAATGGGAGGAAGAATTTAGTCACTCTTTATTTGGTGGAACGAAAACTGAAATTTATAAACATAAATGTTACAAGATTTATTTGAGTAGCCTTGATGGTAAATTATTCGTGTAAATTAGATGCTGTAGACCATGATGTTATTTGTAATGATATTTCAAGCATAAGATACGGTTCTTGGATTCGCGAATTAGGAAATAAGGAATACGCTTAACTGATACCCAAGGGAATCCAGGCCCTATTGAAGTACTGTTAGGGGCAGACGTTGCAGGGAAGTTATTTACTGGCAAACGAGAAGAAGAACTAAGAACAGGTTTAGTGGCTATAGAAACAAAATTGGGTTGGACTTTGATGGGTAAAGTACCTCAATCCGAACATCAGCACAATGTAAATATGACTATAGTTTCTATGTTATCTCAAGAAGACCTGCCTATTTCATCGTTGTGGGACTTAGAATTATTGGGTATCCGAGATCCTGTTGAACAAAAAACTAAAGAAGAGTCAAGAAGAGCTATTATGGTTCATTTCCAAGAAACAGTTCGTCAATTAGAAAATGGTAGATACGAGGTTGATATGCCTTGGAAGATTGAGCATGCAGTCTTACCTGACAATTATGACCTATCTTTGAAAAGACTCGAATCTACTACGAAGAAGTTGGAAAAAATCGGATATCGTGAAAGGTATCATGAAGTCTTTAATGAATGGCTGCAGGAAGGAGTGATTGAAGAAGTTCCCCAAAAGGAGTTGTCTTTACCCGTTGTTCATTACCTCCCACATCGTCCAGTCATTAAGGAAACGTCCTCACTATCTTCCATGAAAATTAGACCCGTTTTTGATGCTTCGGCAAAGCTTTCCTAATCAGCCATCTCTAAATGATTGCTTAGAGACTGGAATTAATTTGATTGAAACTATTCCTTCTATTCTAGCAAGATTTCGCTTACATGAAATTGGTGTGATTTCAGACATCAGAA